TGCTAAACTAGCTACTGGAGGGATTCCTACTTGGTTCAGTCAACATACTCTGCCTTCACGAAAGAGAAGTCTCACTCGTGTGACGAGACTAATGTTGGTAGTTTTGACTCGAGCGGCATCATAGATCAGTACTGGGACAAAACAGCAAACCAAGCAAGCATTTTGCTGCTAAGTGGAAAGCTGGACCTTCAGACACCCAACAAATACGCCGACGCCTTTTGGAAAAATCTTGACCGCGATAGGGAAGAACTAATAGCCTTCGAATACGCAACACACGGTGCTCTCAAGACGACTAAAATGGCTGCTGATGATCTGGAGAGTGAAACTTGTGAAATGAAAGTACTAGCATCGTATGTACGCGCTGGTGGAGATCTCGAGGGTTTGGATAAATCCTGTGTGGCTTAGATGCCAGCATTTGATCTGTCCCCGTCAGATGCCTATTTGTACAGCTACTTTGGGACAGACGATGCCTTCGATGGCGTGTACAACTCGAGCTTAGCTCAATACTAGCATGATATTCTAGATTTGTCGATGATCACCGAAGCATCTTCAAATTCCGATACCTAAAGGTAAGTTTTACATAATATGGCATAAGCGTAAACTGTTCCATAACAAAGTGTAGGTTTTCCAGAATCTATCGAGTATTACAACGAAACATCGTGAGTTTTTATTTATGAAGAATTCACCAATCCTCCAGCTGTAAACTTTCTGTTTCTTGACTTCAAAATTCTGAACACACGTCGTTAACCATGGAAGCCCATACCCAAGAAGCTCACGGATAGTACACAATTTTACCTTGAGCTGGCGTTATATACTCTCCTTTGGCGGATATCATGCAGAATAATACGCAGCTCACCAAGTCCAAAATTAATCGTTTCTGCTCTTCAAGGGCAATGACGGGTCCTCCAGGCCGAATCATTCGGACTCAGATGAGCTAGTGCTTCCCTGTGAGGCCAGTACCTCATTTAAAAGTATTGACCTGAGCGCGATCGCGAATTCGCGCGAATCCTCGTCGGCCTTGTTCTGCAATAATCGATGAAATTTATCGGCGACTACACCTTGTCCGGACTGTGGAGTGTCCAGCAACATGGGTGTCTGCCGCATGCACACTTCCACGCACGATGATTGTCCATCCGCTGACGAGCGTAGAATGCACACGCCTGCTTCGATAGAGCGCATCCCGCTAAATCCACCTTCACCTTCAGAGTTAATCTTCCAGGTGTACACCACTCGGTTCGTCTCTACAAAGCGCCGTCCGACATACCGCTGAAGCAGTGACATCGCCTTTCCAGACTATCGAACGGTCTTTTTGATCTTTTCGGCAAAAAAATCGAATTTCGGTTCAAAATGTTTTTTTGCGGTTTTTTTTGTGGTTTTTTTGTCAACGTTGCCATTTTCACCATGGTCCTTTCGGAACGAAAGGCAAATTTAAGACCTGCTGAAGCTAAAACCAGCGTTGAGACTTACCGCTGGGAGCGTTAAGACTCGCTCGAGTCTTAAGCGCGCTACATTTGAGATAAAACCGCCTTTACGACCAACCGCTGGAGATGCTCTTACGATCGCTGCTTTCTTCAAATCAATTGCGGTCACGATTTGTGCCTTCTGTGGAGGTGAGTTAGATTTTTAAAACGTGACCTGCCTCAAACTTCGTGGCACGAAAGATTTCGCTGATGTGACGATGCAAAGCAAATCTTCAGTGAAGGTAAATTACATCTGTACTCGAAAGCTTAAAAAGGTTAATTTCGTCAGACTGACTGCCACACCTTATTAAATCGTCTGTGTGTACGCGTTTGAATGTATCGCAGTTTCTGACCGAATACACACCAAATATTATGTTGCGTTTGTATTAGCCCACGAATTGCCCGCTATCGCTCAAGCGTCTTTCTTCTTCTTTTATTCGATCAGCTTGAGCCAGCTCCTTTGCTTTTTTTTTCGAAAGTCTTCGCGCGCGTCCTTGGCTCGCAGTCTCTGCTCGCTTTGACGAATCGGCTCTTTCTCACGACGGACTATAGTTCATTGTATTTGTACTGTGTGCATTAATACCTTACAGGGAATCTATTAGCCATGAACCATTGAACAGCGACGGATGCTGCAGCTCGAAACATGGTAGTGACACTGCTTTAGGAAACTTTAATTTGATCGGCAGCGACAAGAGCCGCAGTCTGAGCA